TTAAACTATTTCGCAAAGTAGGATTCGCGTATTGTTCAACCAAAAAATAAATCATCGTACACGCGAGCACAATCTCACCACAACGCTTCAAAAAGAATTTAAGTCGGAATCCCTCAGGAGATCGCGGATAAGAAGGCTGATAACATAAAGTTGGAGCAAACCAGAAATAGAATATATTCTTCAATGTGATGTTATTTGGATATTGAACCGAGTAAACATCGGCATTTAGAATTTTAGTTTCTTCTTTTGATGAAGACGAGATACCACCGATTAATTGTGACAGACGAAGATCGCGATTAACGAATGCGTAGGATATTAGTTTGAGGAAGAGTGCGAGTCCGTTAAAGACCGCGATTGAACCAAGAAATGGGTGAAATATGGCAAAGTAGGATATTATGGCCGGGAATAGCAGTGTTAAAGTGATGTTGATTATGTGTAACATTCCAGCTTGTTTGTTGATCTTTACTATTGTGGGCGTGAGAGTTGGCTCTCTTCCCTCTTTTTCTGCGAGCTTAATCTCGTTCAGGAATGGCGTAATTATAGATTTTTCGATTTGATATGCACAAAAAATGTTTAGCGGCAAGACAAGTACGCAAATCGTTAAATATGTGTAATCCTTTTTTTGAACACGTAAAGGAAGTCAATTATTTGCTAGCATATACATGTATATGAGATTTGTAAATTGATAGTAAAGGAACACATACATAAGGGGCCGCAATAGTTCCAGGTGTAGATATTAAAAAACCATACTTTAAAAAATTTTCGATAATCAATCGAAAATTACTCGCTGCCAGGATTAGCACTTTATTGATAATAGACCAAAAAGATAATATAAATTGTTTAAGAATTAGAAAAAAATACGAGTGACTAACTTCCCGATATTTGAGGCACATACTTGCTAAATTCATAAAACCGCGATAACTCTCTGGTGGTGCCTCCTTTGATAGAGCAGAAGGCGCACTCTTTACGTGAATTGCATACGCGTGCTTATACCCAAGGTTCGGTTTATCATTATGATTTTTACTATCCTTTGCCAAATTAGTCTTATTAATATCGGAAGTTTCTTCCGCAGAAGAGACGCTTTGTCGGCTACTTTCTTGAGACATTGTAACAAGACAAAGATAGCGATAAACGAAAATAAATGATAATAATAAATACGTACCGGGTGGTGAGCGTGTTTTTTTCTTTTATGTATCACTCACACGTGAAAAAGAGGGATATGCGATCTTTTTCTTAGAAATTTGGTTCATAATTCGATTCTCGTGATAATGAATAAAGATCATCGGTTCACAATACTCCGCATCCTTCTGGCTGTTTGACTGTTTACACGTATTCAAGGTAGCACACATTCCAAGATTGTTTATCTTTCCGGCAAAATTGTCTCGTGTTTAGATATTACTGCGAGAAGCAACAAATTAATATAAATAAGTTTTTTTTGAAATTTGATTTCTAGTTTTTGTATTTTCTACCTATTGTCTTTCCCTCCTCATACGTAGATAATCAAGTAACCCGTAAAAAAAAAATATGGCTGCGACGTCACAAACAACACCATTAACCTTGCCAGCGTCGTTCCCAACTTTACCCTCTTCGTTACCAATGTTGACTCAATTTAAGAACGAGCGGCTGGGAAACCTTCGTCCAGTAGGCGAGTTCTTTGATAGAAATAGGATTTCAAAGCCAAATGGAATGGCAGGTAGGATATTATTACTGTTAGTTGACATTCTTCTGTTCATTACATTTCATAAAAAAACTCGTTATTATATGCGGGGAATTACTGTACTGATCAAATCAAATTGATATCAGTTGTTATACTCTAATTTTAATTTTAACTTAGAGACGTATGTAATATTATATAAAAATATGGTACACTTTCTTGATACATTTTTTCTAAATATAAAGCTATTTTATCGCTCGTGTAATAGCAATCACTCAACGTCTTTCCTATAACTTGACGTATTTCCAATCAAATTACATCCTCATTGTTCTCGGATTATTGCTTTACTGTCTGTAAGTCTTCTCTTTAAAATGTTAACTCGCTATTAAGCAATTAAGTTTCTAATTAATAACTGAAGGATTGAATATACTTTAATTTTTATCCTTTTGAGTTTATTGAGTTAATCTAATAATATTGTTATTTATCTAGGATAACCAATTTCTGGTTATTATTCACCATCTTATTTTTGATTTTTGGACTTAACTTCATTCGGAAACTACCGCCGGATCAACCGTATGTCTTTCAACAATACGTTATCACCCAAAAACAACTCTATACGTGGTTGTTTGGGATTTCGATCCCACTTCTGTGGATTTCGTCTGCTGGATCGGCAATATTTTGGATTATTGGTAAGTTATTTATTCACGTGACACGTTAAAATTTTACATATTCTTTTCATTTAACCTTATTTGCTGCTTTTGCTTTAT